GTGATCTGTTTTCCAAGGCTCGGGCATGTAATGTACTATTCCTGAATTATAACGAATTCTTCCGTTTTCAGAATTTCACCAAAAATTAATTCCATGTAAAAAAAATCGATATTATTTGATTTTGTGATATAAGTATTGCCTTCATTAAACAAACCATCGAATAACCAAAATCGAATGAAAAATTTAAAATTGAATATTTTTAGATTTTCTATTTTTTTTCAATTCATTCTCGACATTCAAGTTCATTAATCATCTATAATTTAATCTTGTCAGCTCGTAACTTTTATCACCAAAAAATAATTTCCCATTCCACTAATTATAAACAAATGCGTGTATTATAGAAAATATGCACTGATGTATTTAATGTATACACGGTGTTTGTTTTTTATTCGAGGTTAGAAATCCGATTTGTAATTCTAGCGCGCTTTTGAAAATAGCACTGTCGCGNAAGGTTATAAATCCGATTTGTAATTCTAGGGCGCTTTTGTAAATAGCACTGTCGCGGCCGATTGCTCATTCTCATGAAAGTTCTCATGAGAATGCGTCTTTCATCCGCCGCAATGACTCTGAAGATAACATCATGTGGCAATTTATTCGAACGACACTCTATTTCTGTTTCATACGTTCATGATCGAACACGTCCGTTCGACTTCGACTTTCGGTGAATCGATTCGACATTCTTCAATTCGAGTTTTCATTCGGCAGCCATTATGCTTTCCTTTATATATAAGGATTGGGCTTGTAATAATTTTATACCTATAATTGAAGCTCATGTATATTCTACTTGTTATGCGCATGCCCATATGAAGATCCCATGATCGATATATCGAGAAATAGTTACAATCGATTATCTCCATGAAATCCGCCATGTTCGATTAATGGCCCATCTCTCTTTTTATATAGGATTCATTAAAAATATTTTTTGTCATTCCGGCCGTAAGGCCGCTCCGCTCCGGGTCAGTGAATCTCTGCCTACGGCCGTCATGACAAAAAATACTGTTCGTTATACGGCAAAAAAAAAAAATTCTGGCTCATATGATAGCCGCTCTCGCCTTCGGCTCGAGCTGCAAACTCATATTCACCATAAAAGATTTTTTCGGTCTAGTGACGAACTATACTATTTTGGAATGACGGCCATAGGCAGAGATTCATGGACGCGGAGCGGAGTCTCCGTGAAGCGCTGCCTCACGGCCGGAATGACAAAAAAAAAATTTTCTGACAAATATGATTGCAGCCCTCGCCTTCGGCTCGGGCTGCAAACCTCATATTCGCCAGAAAAGTTTTTTTCGGCCTAATGACGAAATATACTATATCCTTCTCACACCACCCTCAACTTGTTCCATAACACTTTTCATTTCGTTTGAATTCATCAAACGACGAGAATTTATGGAGCTCAGATTTGCCCGCATTTCGATATTTTTCTTTACCCTCGTGCCCTCTTAATTTTTTAAATTCCACTGTTACACAGGGGCCAGTCAAAAATCAATTGATTCTCTTTTTTCTTGATAAATAATAATAATCCCCAATTTTTTCGAGACATTTTGAAATGTGATATCGATATAGAGATGAGAAAAATTTTTGTTTGCATGAAAAAAATTTTTTTTCGACATTAACGGCTATAATTAGTTAAATCACATTGTTAATTCATCACTTATGCTCGTGGGGTGAA